ATCCCAGTACTCCCACTACTCCAAAAGCAGTGGCAGATGGATATGGGTGAGTTTGAGGTCAGCCGGTCTACAAAGCAGTGTCAGGACAGCCAGAGCTACACAAAAATCCTGTCTTGGGGGGGGGGGAAGGGTAACAACTCCTATAACTGTCATTAACCCTGGTAATGAAAGGTAACATAGCTCAGCTCAGGGTTACACGGCTCCTAAGGTGGTAACCCCCCAACCATAAAATTATCTTGGCTGTTACTTCCTAACTGTAATTTTGCTACTGTTATGAATTGTAATGTAAATATCTGTGTTTCCCTATGTATGGTATGGTCTTTTGGGGATCTCAGAACCTAGATCCACACTCAGTCAAAGGTTCCAGCCTTGCTTCACTGCACTCAAGCTCTGCAGCCTCTTCCCTTAGCTTCTCTTAGGTCAGACCAGATGCTAACTCAAGTCCTTTCCACTGCTAACATTTTATTCTGCCAACCAGCCCTCCCATCGGTTTATTTCAGGGCATCAGTGAAACAGAGTGACTGTGCTCATACACCTACAGGCTTCAAGCTAAAGTAGAGCAGTCTGGGTTAGGAGAAGGCAAAAGAAAATGCTCAACAACTTAGCATCCATAAACTGGGCTAAAAAGCACATGTACTCAGGAGAGCGTCCTCGTGTCTCTTAAGGAGCCCAATAGACCTTCAGAGTAGACCCTGAATTCACCCCCATGCTACTGGATATTGTATAAATTTTGTACAGAATCACAGCAGACTAAACCTAGACCCTGAAAGGCAAGCCATTCATCCTTTCTGGGGTGAGGTTTCCATGAAGCCTGATAAAAACTTTTTCTTTATTTAAAACAACAAAAAACCCAAAACAAACAAACAAAACCACCAGGGTCTCATTATGTAACCCTAGCTGGTCTGGAGTGCCTTTTGTAGACCAGGCTGGCCTCCAACTCATAGAGCTCCACCTGCCCCTGCCTTCCAAGTGCTGGGATTAAAGGTGTGTGCCACAACACCAAGTAAAATCTTTTGTCCTAGAGAAAGAAACAAAAAACAAAAACAAAACCTCCTTCCTGTGCCTTCAGACTAGTACATAAAACTTTATTTGCAACTATAAGGGATTTCCAAGGCTCCTAACATTTCTTTCTGTAAGTATCTCTGAAATGATCTATCCTGTTCAAGGCTTGTCCTCCCAAGGGCCTCCAAACTATCCTAAGATCTGGGCTGGGGTTTCTAGGGAGTTGTACTCAGGAAACAAATTATCTACTGCAACTCAGCATAATTAATCCTACACGGAAAAGACTGAGAGTCCTCTCTCCCTCTCCTTTATACCAACTTGTACTGAGGGAATTCGAACAGAGAAGAGCTGTAATTGAATCCTTTAATTCCAGAGAACATGAAATTAAGAAGGCCTCTAAGAGTATTCCATGACCCTTTCTACCTGGCACCAACAAAGCCTTGTAGAACATTAGAAGGGTTGAAATAACAAGGCAAAGATCTTGCTCCCATGGGACTGTGCCTCCACTGAGCCAAAAACAGAACCAGGCTAGACTGCCATTGACCTTATTAGGTGCTTTTTTTTAACATGTGCTTAAAAAAACTATAGGTTACCAGAGAAAACACAAAATTAAATATCACTTCCCCACTAGAGGACTGGCATCAGGTTGTTGGTACAGGCCTAGAGAAACCACAGCCACTAATATAATTGGTAGATTTGTAAGTCACTGTAGCCTTTGGTGGTGAAGGTACAATTTGACTTTTTCTTTTTTAATCAGAAACACCTTCCTTAGGCATGGGGACACACATTTGTAATCAATTAGAGGCAGAGACAAGATGATCAAAGTTCAAAGCACGAGGAGGCAGATGGTCACAAACTGCAATGCAAGTTTGAAGCAGATCCAAGGCAGACAGACAGAGTGAACTCTTGACAGCTGTCCTTGGCCCTCCATGCACATGACACGGTGTAGTACACTGCCCACAATAGCAGCAATAGTAGGAGGAGGAGTCTAGAAAAAATACTAATAGCATCTTTTGTTCAGTTTGGCGGCCAGCTCCTGATGTAAGGAAAGGGAGGGGAAGAAAGGAGGGAGGGAGGAAGAGAACAGAAACGATGATACACATGGGCCTTCAGGGTAGAGGCAAGGAGAATCAGGAGCTCTAGTCAGTCTGGGGCAGTCTCAAAAACAAAACCAAAGAAGGGAGGGAGGGAAAGAGCCAGAGGGAGACTAAAAATGCCACACCCTACCTCCAGGTGGTTCAGTGGGTAAAGGCATGCCACCAAGCCTGAGTTTGTTTCCCTGCACCCACAAGGTGAAGAAAACCACTTCTGCACACTGTCCTCTGACCTCCACATGCTTACTATGGTGCCCACCCCTCACCTTCACACACATACACATAAAAACAATACTCAAATAAATAACTTTTAAAGTAAAACACACCCTTTGTGCACCAATTCCTCACAGGCATCTTGCAAAAGTAAGTCAAAATAGATACATGACCAGGTTCAACACAGCATTGTTTATCAGGAACAAGTTTTAGCTTTTAGATATACACTATTAATGGAATATGTAGCTTTTGAAGAATGTCCCAGATCTCTAAGTGATGATGTGAAAAGATCTCAAATACATACACTTAACTGAAAGAAGAAATTAAGCTGGATATGGCGGCGCACACCTTTAACCCCAGGGCTTGGGAGGCAGAGGCAGGTGGATCTCTGTGAGTTCCAGGCCAGCTTGATCTGTGTAGTGACATCTGAAGCTATCGATAGATAGACAGACAGACAGACAGGAAAAGAGGTTGAGGGCCAGCAAGATAACTAAGATTTAAGGCACTTACTGACAGAAAAGCCTGATGACCTGAGTTTCATCCCTAAGATGCATATGGTAGAGGAAGAGTGTTCTTTCTCCCACAAGTTGTCCTTTAACCTCCACACATGTATTGTGGAACATGAATGTATTGATAGCATGGTTATTATTACATGTTTCCTTCATTCATGGGATGTATACTTAGTGGTATCTGTATTAAATTATATTCTAAAAAGACAGGCATATTAAGAAACTATTCACTGTATCTACCTTTATAGAGAGTGACTACAGACTAAGAAGAAATGAACTGATGTACACTACACTCAAATGGATTTTTCCCTCTCTCTCTCTATGCTTTCTACATAAAAGCTCTCATCCAATAGATGTTACTGTACAAACCCAGCAATCGCCGTCAGTTAGGGGCGTGGCCCTTCCACAGGCTCTGTTCTTCACCCCCACCTGTTCCTCTGCACACCACCCTTCCACACAGACCTGGAATTGCTCCCAGATATATCCTTTCACCTCGACCCTGCTACTTAGCAACATGAAATGTTGTATGTATTAGAAAATTCAAAAGAAACCACACATTTAGTGAGGAACCTTGCAAGGGGAAAGAGATAAGGGCCCATCCAGTACACAGCAGGAAATTGACTAGGGGATCTACGAGAGGATCAGAATTAGGACAATAGCTAACACTCCTCTCAAGACACTGTTGTGACGTCATAAATTACTCGGGCTTTACTGGGGATGACCCCAGTGCTCCACCCCAATTGCCAGCTATTCAATGCAATTCTAAGTAGAGCAGAGAGCAGGCTGAGAGAAGGCTAGCACAGGCAGTCCACACTCTGCCTTTCGTAGCATGGATGAGCTCGAACCATTGCTCTGAAATGGCATGCAATGACAGAGAACTCTGTGCCGAACCTAAGAGACTGTCTTCTGTGCAGACAGTGCTCTCCACTTAGGCACATAGGGCAAAGGCACATGAGGGGGCCTGCCACTCTGTGCACTAGAAAAGCAGGAGGGGTGAGGGCTTGTGCAATGGAGAGTGAAAAAGCAATCTCCTCAGCCATGTGGAGCCCTGGGAACCCACTCAACACGAAGGACACTCTTCTGCTGCAGCAGTTCCAAATCCCTGAACTGCCCTGTGAATGGAATCAACGAGGACTGACGATCAAGGAAGACAAGCCTCCGTACTTAACTGCCTGTTTCATTAAAGAGAACCTTGTTTACTTTCATGTATTCTGCAACATTGCTTCACAGAGTGAGAGATTATCTACACACAGGATTTCCAGAGACGTTGACTGCCCTTTTTATAAAACAAGTTCTACATACAAGTGCCACAAAGGCTCTGCCTCCATCACAGGACTTAATGAACACAGAAGAACTTCCTTTATGTGCCATCCCTACCATTTTTAATAATTCCTGACATTCCCCAATTAGTGCTTCAGATAACCAAATTAGGACTGTGCCGGTGTACTTACTTAATAATAACAGAAGAAGAAACAAGTTAGCTCCCTAAGACTCCACGGAACAAGTCGGTAACTTTTTGTTGTTATAATCTCTAGTCCTTTTGAGGGAATGAAAAAGGCAAACCAATTTTCTTATCAAAAACTATATTACATGAATAGATAACATAGAATTTCCATATAATTTTGGGAGTTCACAGTTCTACTTAAGCCTACCAAGGGACACCCTGTGGCCTGAACTTAAGAAACCCTAGCTCAGCGGCAATGAACATGGAACCCCTCCACTTACCCCCCAAAAGAGCTCCTGAAGTAGTGAGGCACTGAAAGGAGACCTTCATCTCTTCATACAATTGTCTGGAAACTACTGCCTAGAGTCCAGATTACTACATCTGACTCCACAGGAAGAAGGGACCTGCCATCTGACTGCTGGCTTTAAACAAGCAGGACATAGTAAGAGATGCCTAGTTGGACAGTGGTGGTGCACACGTTTAATCCCAGTACTCAGGAGGCAGAGACAGGCAGATACTGTGAGCTTGAGGCCAGCCTGGTCTACAGAGCGAGTTCCAGGACAGTCAGGGCTACACAGAGAAAGTCTGTCTTGAAAAACAAACAAAACAAAACAAAAAAATAGAGATGCCCAGTTGAACTGAGCTGTTACACAAGCTCTTGAAACACTCGCTGGATGACTCTACCCTCTGAGAAATGAAGAAGGCAAAGTCTAAAGTCCTTATACATTTGGGGCTTACCTCTGAGGTTTTCTAATGTCCCATAGTCCCACTCCTTCCTTTGAATTGGCTGTGGCCAATAACCTGGGCTCCACAGGATTAAACATGACACTGTGAAAGGCTGATGGATAATTTGCCAGGCAGAAGGGCTCTGTGAAAACAGAAATGAGACAAAGTTCTATCAGGAGCAGGCAGCTGAGCAGGAGTATGGATGCAGACAGAAACATACTCCTATCCACCCACCCAAAGGTGGTGCCACTTCCACGTAGTGCATGCCCCACCAGCACCCACCCTACCTTCAGGCCTCCCTGAGCCCTCCAATACCAGTCAAATGCATAGAGCCAAACTTTAAACTATAACACTCAGATCCTAGTATCTCAAGAGGAAAAGTGAGCTGTTTACAGATGTAAAAATGATTCCACTGAAACAATTTCACAACTCCTGGTAAAGTTATTATACCTTTAATATTTCTTTTTTGCAGTATTCTTTTTTCCAGAATTATTTTTTATTTAAATTAGAAACAATCTTATTTTACATGTCAATCCCAGTTCCCTCTCCTTCTCATCCCCCTGTGGCCCCCACTGACCCCTCATTCCATCCCCTTTCTGCTCCCCAGGGAGGGTGAGGCCTTCCATGGGGGATCTTCAAAGTCTGTCACATCATTTGGGGCAGGGCCTAGACCCTCCCCCATGTGTCTAGGCTGAGGGAGTGTCCCTCTGTGGGGAATGGGCTCCCAATGTCCATTCGTACACTAGGGATAAATACCAATCCACTACCAGAGGCCCCATAGACTTCCCAGGCCTCCTAACTGACACCCATGTTCAATGGCCTGCTTTAGTCCTATGCTGGTTTCCCAGCTGCCAGACCTTTAATACTTCTAATATTGAACGTTTTATAAACAAATAGATTTAATGAAGACAAAGTGAAACAGTGAAAAATTAAGACTCGGCAAAGCAACAGTGCAGCTTCACTTCTGGTTTATGATACTACCTAAATGGCTAGGACAGAACTGTGTTTGACTTCCAGTACAAAACAAACAAACAAAAAACATGAGTCAGGTGGTAGTGGTGCACGCCTTTAATCCCAGTGCTTGGGAGGCAGAGGCAGGTGAATCTCTTTGAGTGGTCTACAAAGCAAATTCTAGGACAGGTAGAACCTAACACCCCCCCCCGTTACACACCCTGTCTTGGAGAAAGAGAAAAAAAAAAGCCTGGTGCCCCTTTTCTGTAATTGAGGGAGAAAGGTTATAAATTCAAAACCAGTCTGAGTTACATAGCAAGACCCAGATTACGTTTTTTTTTGCTTTAACACTTGAGCTGCCAGTTCCTAATCAACTCGACCTGGATCTTGTACACCCTTTGCATAAATTATCAGCTCCTGGTGAGGAAAGAATCCCTTTGCTACTGGAATAACATACTCCTCTGGGATCTGCTCCAATCAATCAAAGACAAAACCCACCTCTTCGTCTATGACTTCCAAATACAGTCGTGCTTAGGGCCCTGGGCAGGGGATGCACTCAGTCACCTCAGCTACGGAGCAATGCAGAAAAGGGAATAGTGTACATTCAAGCACCCAGAAATGCAGCAACAGATACTGTCTGTTGTGAGCAGCTTTGCTGACCCCAAGGGCAGGCTTCTTTGCTATCCTGAACCTGTAAAGGCCTGATATATGAGCAAATACAGACTTGCCAGCCACAGATGGCAAGACAGTAACTACAAGTCCACAGGTTACCAGTTTGATCATTACAGAATCAAACGAAGGACAGAGGTGGGCACAGTGGTACAATTAGAAGAAACAGTAAGGCAGAAATCCCTTGGCAGGAAATAAGCTAAGAAGATTCATTTCCTGAAGAACCGCAGCGACAATAAAACAAGCAGACTGTCAAGCACTTGTGGAAGAAGAGTTCACTGACTATTCCCCAAGTAAAGAATGTACTTGTCAGCACTTACCCACAAGGAGGTAAGGTGAGGGTCTGTGTGGTTCTTAAACAAGAAGTACACAGTGTCCCTCTTCTCTGTAAACAACCCACAACGTGTGGACCGGACCACACAAGGAGCTTTAGGTAGCTACCCTCCACTTCTGACGACTTGCAGTGTCACATACCTGTGCTGCATGTCGGAATCCTAGATGTCTTCTTCCTGGATGTTACTTGCACGCAGGTTATAAAGCAAATACATAATGAACTTGCTATCAGGCTGTTCAGCACGACGCAACAACTTCATACACAGTGACTTACCTCCATGGGGAGACTCCCGGATGTCCCAAATGAGAACTCGGCCATCATCTGAAGAGCTGGCAAAAATGTTGTCATTCACTGGGCTCACCGACAAACCATACACTGCATCTTCATGAGCAAACACATCCAGGGTCTCACTACTGAGAAACAGAAGAGAGAAGCACATTGGCACAAACATACACACAGACATGGCAGAGTCCCAGCCCAATGGTAATTAGCTAGGATTCAGTCTTTCATTCCCAGGACAGAGTTAACCTAGGTAAACCTAGGTTACTGATACTGAATTAGCTAAAAGGTAATGTTCAATGTTCAAATAAAAAAAGTATATGCATAATTCAGAGGTATTACCTTTATAAATTTCATAATTTTTATGCTAAGCATATCTAATGTTTTTAAAATTCATCTACTTGTATGGAGAGTCAAGAGTGGTACGAGATTTCCAAAAACAAAGGGAAGGGTTAACAGCAGCCAGGCCTGGTAAGAGCAGAGGTAGAGGGGGCCTCTCAGCAGACTAGCATGGTGAATAACAGTACAGCTCTGAGCTCGACAGAACCCCATGCACAAGTCCTAGCATCACCTGACGTTACCTAACAACTCATGTCATGGATATCACAATACTGCCCCTCACCAAATGAGTGTGATGGTTAAATGCATAAAGTGCCCTTAGAATAGTGTCTGGAACATGACAGTAAAAATTCAATAAATATTAGTTATTATTAACTATTAATTTTATTATGAACAAATAATATTAAATAAAGAGAAAAATCTTTCCCTCTTATCTCTATAATTGCATGCCAATTTTGCAAATCTTTTTTAAATAAAAAATTATCTCAACTATTATGAGTCATTTTATTTTTTTCAGATAACTAATATTGGTTCCATATTATTTTCCGCAAACACTAAAATCCATGTCTAAGGCAATATTTGCCTCTGTTAATCTAAAAAATGGTTAGTCAGTGTCACACAACAATAATTTATTTACCTTTCAACATCATGGAGGATAACTTGCTCATCATTTCCTACAAAGGAAAAAGACAGACATTTCATAATTCCTGCAAGGTGGTCCCTTCCACATGACAATATGGGGGTTTAAAGTTTTCAGGAAAAAAAAATCATAAATTGGCATTAGTGGGTGGAAGCTCTTGTCTTGACAGCTTATTTCCAAAGTTTGGTCCCCAGAACCCATGGTATAAGGAGAAAAACTGAAAGTCATCCTACACATGTAGCCACGGCATGTGTATTGTGGCTGACATGAGCTCGAGTGCACGCGCCCACACGTGCGCACACACACACACACACACAATATCAACACTGAAAATATAGCATAATGCAAGGTAGGCGTGTTAAGTTAGAAAAAATATGAAGATAATGTAAGAAGCCAGGCATAGTACTACCTGCTTATAACCCAACACTCAGAGGAGGTGGAGGCAGAAGGATGAGGAGGCTTAGAGTCAGCCTAGGATACATGAGAACTTGTCTCAAAAGCCACACTTTTTTCACTAAAAAGAAACTATTAAGGACAGAGCCGTCTTTACAGAGTTTTTGCTTTGTTTAGAAGAGCAAGTATAAACCTGGTTACAGTTCTTAGAATGCATTATTCAGCAAAATAAACTGTTAGCCCTTAAGGAAAATATGAGTGAATAATCAAACAGTTCACTCATCCACACTAACCCACCCTACACCTCCAGGGTAAAGCAACCATTAACTGCTTAGAGTTGGAATACAATCTCTTAACAATCCCAGGCTTCGGCTGTCTTTGTGAACATAGGAATAATAACCACCGACTTTACTGAGCTATTTACAAGAATATGAACCTATAAAAGCACTCAGAACTAGGCTGAGTACTTGATAGGCCCCCAATAAATGTTTGTTGTTTCTACCTAATCCATCATAGCATGAAAGTCTGATGAGTGTGATCCTAAATGATGATAAAGATTTCTTCCACAACTTCCTTTATATTCTTATTCTAAGAATCTAAAACACTACATTCATGATATGCCTTCAAATGTTTTTTAATGCCCAAAACAAAGCAGGCATGTGTAAGATGAGACATATCCCACTCTCAAATACATAGCCAAAAGCCATCTAAATAGAAGGCAAACAATAGCAGTAAGGACATGGTCTCAGTCATCTCAACTCTCAAAGTCCTGGCTATAACTTCTTCAGTGAGTTCACACTAATGACATAAGTGAACTCACACTAATACCTAATACAGTGGGGCACTGGAGACATGAGAATACGATTCTATTCAGTCCTTTAAGAATTGGTGATAAGGGGCTAGAGAGATGGCTCATAGGTTAAGAGCATTGGCTGCTCTTCCAGAAGACCTGAGTTCAATTCCCAGCAACCACATGGTGGCTCACAACATCTGTAATGAGATCTGGCACCTAGACAGATGCTGTATACATTTAAAAAAAATAAAAAAATTGGTGGTGCACGCCTTTAGTCCCAGCACGCTGGAGGCAGAGGCAGGTGGATCCCTGTGAGCTCGAAGCCAGCCTGATCTAAAGAGCGAGTGTGAGGATAGGTTCCAAAGCTACACAGAGAAACCCTGTCTCAAAAAACAAACAAACAAAAAAAAAAGAAATTGAGTCTGGCTGAGTGGTGGTGGCACACACCTTTAATCCCATTGCTCGAGAGGCAGGCTGATCGCTGGGAGTTCCAGGCCAGCCTGGTCTACAGAGCCAGTTCCAGGAGCTGTTACACAGACAAACCCTGTCTTAAAATAAATAAATAAATAAATAAATAAATAAATAAATAAATAAATAAATAAGGAAAAAAGAATTGAGAGTCCAACTACACAAACTAGTAGTAGCAGGAGAGTGAACTGTGGGGACATGGGACTGTTAGCTTTAGGGACAATTATAGCCTGCACGCTCAGAGAGTAGGTACACGGGAGAATCAGATGTCAAAGACACGCAAGCAACATTAAATTCTGCTAATGGGATAAGGATAAGCTGGATGTGTGGCTTGGAACTGAGGAAACAGAGGCAGGAAGATTTCCTCAAGTTCAAGGCTAGGCTGGGTTACATAGTTAGCAGTAGGCCAGGCTAGGCCAATTTGGGCTGTAGTGAGACCCTGCCTCAGGAAATGTCAAAAGGTGGGGAGGACAGGGGCAAATAAAGCCACCCAATGTCACCTAAGACATCAAGTAGTTTAGTTGGCAAGGAAAATGAGGCTGGGCAGTCAACTGGGTTAGACCTTATTCTGTGGGCACTTGAGGGTTTTCCTGTTTAGCCTAGGCTGTCCTGAAACTCACTCTGTAAACCAAGCCATCCTCAAACTCAGAGATCTACCTGCCTCTGCCTCCTGAGTGCTGGGATTAAAGGCATGCAGTAAATATTTTTTAATGTAAATGTATGGCCAGAGAGAGATGGCTCAGGAGCAACAAATCTGTCACTTAAGCGTGGTGACCTATGCTGATCCCTGGACTCACATAAAGGTAGAAGGACAAAACCAACTCCATACACTTGACCTTTTACCTCTGTGTACACAATGTGTACACACAATAAATTAAGAAGTCATTCCAAAACACGTAAGTGAGTGAAAATTTGTATAAGCAATGACCTGAAGAGTGAGAGGTCTGATGGACTATAAAACAAAACAAAACCTAACAGGCAGGTTGGAGCATGACTCTTAGATCACTGGAAAGACAAGTTAAGTATAGTGGCTCACATCTGTAACCCCAGAATTTGGAAGGAGGGCTATGAAGAATAGGAGTTCAAGGTCTGCCTTGTCTACAGTGAATTCAAGGCCACTATTAAGATGAACCATGTAGGCTGGCGGGGATAGGGATAGGGGGTTGTCGAAGGGTAGGGGAGTGGGGGAGGTGGTGGCGCACACCTTTAATCCCAGCACTGGGGAGGCAGAGGCAGGCGGATCTCTGTGAGTTCAAGACTAGCTTGGTCTACAGAGAGAGTTCCAGGACAGGCTCCAAAGTCACAGAGAAACCCTGTATGAACCATGTAAGCAGGCAGGGTGGCACATGCCTTGATTCCCAGCACTCTGGAGGCTAAGGCAGAGAATCTCATGCTTACAGCCAGCTTGGGGTACATAAGGAGACCTTATTACAAAACAAAATCAATCAACCCAAAAGATGAATGACATTTTTGACAAGTTGAAAGTATATGTTAGCAGTTTCTTTTACTGTGACTTTCAAAGCTGCTGTTCCTTCCACCCTCATTTTGGCCCTGCAGAGGATGACCTAGGCTTTGCACATCCTAGGCAAGTGTTCTAAAAGTGAAGTGCATTTAAAATACTTTTGAAACACGTGAGACATCCAGTGAGAAGATCTGCAGTTAACAAAGGAGGTCAGGGCTATAAAGTTTGTAGTCAGAATGGCTAATGAAGTAGCCATTGCCAAGTGGCATGTTAGCCACTCCAACTGTACCCTAACATACTACTTTTCAAACACGAGTCATCTATAGGTCAGGACATTAAACTGAGTCACAACCAGTATCTTTAAAAATGAAATAGTGGGGGATAAAACGATATAGCAGTGTTTAAGAGTGTTTGTTATATAATCAAATTCCAGCAACCTGCATATCAAGCTAGGCATCCCCCAAATGCTCACAGCTTCTCCTCTGAAGGATGCAATGTTCTCTTTGACCTCTACGCATGTACAAGTGCATACACATGCACATACACTCATGCAGAAACCCACACAAAGTATGTATTTTTAAAAATGGATGGATGGATACACACACACAAACAAACACACACACACACACACACAAACACACACACACACACACACACACACACACACACACACAGAAAAATCAAGCCTGATGGGGCAGAGTTTGATTCCCAGGGCCTATATAATGGAAGGAGAGAACCAACTTTAGCAAAGTATCCTCTGACCTCTACATGCTTGCCATGGCATGCTCCTTAAATAAGAAAATGCAATTAGAAAACAGTTTTGTGTGTGTGTGTGTGTGTGTGTGTGTGTGTGTGTGTTTTAAATCAAGCCTAATGTTACTGGCCTACAATCCCATGACTTGAAATAAGAATTTAAGGTCAATCTGGGCTATTTGAGATCTTTTGTCATTACCAACCAAGCAGCTGCAACAGATATGGAAAACAAGGAAGCAGGAAATACCTATATTCCCAGCACTGGAAAGAGTACAAGGTCATCTTCAGACTCAGCTACATGAGACCTTGTCTCAAAAAACAAAATCATGGTCAAATCTTTCATTTTATATGAAAATGTATAGTAGGAAAGATGGGTCAGGAAGTAAAAGAAGGCCAGGTAGTGGTGATGCTCACCTTTAATCCCAGCACTTGGGAGGCAGAGGCAGACAGAGTTCTGTGAGTTTGAGGCCAGCCTGGTCTCTAGAGTGAGTCCCAGGACAGCCAGGACTATATAGAAAAACCCTGTTTTGAAAATCAAGGAGGTAAAAGAGCTTGTCACCCAAGCCTGTTGACTCAAGTTCAATTCCTGGAAGTTATGTAACGATGGAAGGAATACACATACCTACATGTATAATAATCATTACAAATAAACACAGGCCGGGCGTTGGTGGCGCACGCCTTTAATCCCAGCACTCGGGAGGCAGAGGCAGACGGATCTCTGTGAGTTCCAGGCCAGCCTGGTCTACAAGAGCGAGTTCCAGGACAGCCTCCAAAACCAGAGAGAAATCCTGTCTCGAAAAACCAAAAAAAAAAAAAAAAAAAAAAAAAAACCCAAATAAACACACAGTAGTCACAAAAATAAAATCTCAGAAGAAATAAAACAGGATAGAAAAGCAAAATCAGTGCACCATATATGGTAAGGTTATTGCTTCCTGTGTGTACGTTGCAACAAATTACAACATAAAGATTTTCTGCCACAGGAAGGACCAAGGAAGGGAAGAAAGGATGGAGGGTAGGGAGGAGGAGGATGGAACCCTAACTCACATGTCTAAACAAACTATGGGAAGGCAGTAATTCTACAGCTCACTAAGATATAAAAAGAAAAAATAGGTTCTCTTACCACTCTTAACTAACTTCCCAAGGTACAGTCTCTCCTCTTACCTCCAGAGAAGACTTTGGTGTTCCCACTGTTGAAAGCCAGGCAGAAAATGTTGGAGTGGTGTTCTCCCTTCAGTTGTATGGGCTTGACCCTGGAATGGATAGCTTGTTCCATATGCCATAGCAGAACCCGGCGGTCATCTCCTCCTTTCGCAGGGAAAAAGAATCTAGGGTTAAAACCATCGATACTGCAAGGCTAATAACACTTGGTTTTGCCACCTCAACTCCCATCCTTTTTGAATCTATACCTCCCCAACTATGGAAGATTGGGAGAAGGCACACAAATCCAGGATTTTTACCTGTGAGGTACATGAACTCAAAACACCACATTCTCCCAGGAACTGTTTGGGTTTTACTTTTGTTGTCCGGCTGACTGTTTTATTTTAGTGGTAATAGAGATGGAACCCAAAGCCTTGTGCACACTAGGCATGTGCTCCACCACTTTATCCCTTTCCAAGTTTTGACAAACAGATAATACAGAAATTAAAATAGATAAGCACTGACATTGATAACATACTCCTCACCCAATACCATATTGTTCCCCCTGTCTTTCTAGAGGCCTAGTGTTTAAATGTTTGTTTATGACCTAGAATCTTTCTAGTAGAGTCTTCGGAAGGGAGCCAGGAACCTGAACTGGTTTCTACTGCTTGCAACCAAAGACCTCTTAGTATTTCTAGCATAATAGTTTGTAAAGCAAGCTTTGATGTGGTGTTAGTGATTATGGGACAGTATACAGACAACTAAGGGCTTGCTTGACACTAATAGGAGGTTGATGTAACCAGGTTCTTATAGGAGCTGACTCTTTAACCTCTGTGTAATTTTCAGTGGTCTCAACTGCAAAAGAAATAGCATACGGTATGAACTAGCTACTAGAGAATGAGAATACACCCGTTCTATACATTTATGGATGGCTGGAGGAGGAACAAACTATTAACAAAGACTACTCTAGGAAACAGAAGAGAAGTAGAGACTGCATTTCCCACTTGGTGCATACACACATGTACATTAACACACACACCACCACCATCACCACACCATACCACACACAGCTGCCCCCTACTGGAACCTGAACTCAAAACCTTGTGCATGCTCTCAAGGCACAAGTATTCACCACTAAACTATTTATTACACCCATTCCTATTTAAGAAAACATATGTATGTAGGTGTGTGTATCTGCATGTGGTTGTGTGCAGAGTACAGCTTCCTGCAGAGGCTGTGCAGAGGTGTTGAATCCCCTGGAACTGGAGTGACAGATAGTTGTGAGCTGCCTGGTGCAGAGAACTGATTTGGGACTTCTGGAAGAGCACCCAACCTCGTAACTGTTGTGTCATCTCTCCCATACTCCTATTTGACTCTTATAACAAGACAATAACACACTCTTCCCCATCCCCCCCCCCAAAGTAAGTTACAAGAGCAGCAAATCACAGGAGCTCTGAGCCTCTGGCTCTCCACCTACACAAGATTAAAAACTACAATGAATGGAATAGCTGAGCTAGTGATGAAGCCGTGCACCCACACAAGGTCATGCCACAGGACATTAAGAGTCAGTGCAGAGATATCCAAAGGTTTTTGCTAAGGATAAAAAAATGGGTGTAAAAGAATATCCTCCTTTTGTGTAAAACAATTTTTTAAAGCTACACAGCAACAGGAATTTTGGCAGTTTTGTTCTCTGTTGAATTTTGCCTGTACCTAAACGAGTGAATCAAAAAGCAAGCGCTGGGGCTAGAGAGAGGCCCAGCAGTTAAGAGCAGATACTACTGTTACAGAGGAGCAGGTTTCAGTGCTCTGCACTCCCATCAGGTAACTCCGGCTCCAGGAGGACCCACCACCCTCTTGTGGACTTCCATGGCGCTGTACATGCACACAGACACACAAAACTGAAAATCTTTAAAGTAAGTCCTGAGCATGATTATAGATGCACATTTTTGCTTATACCCCATAGCCATGCCTAGATGACTTTACAGGAAGTTGCTACAGTGCTCACGATAGCTCTTTTCAATATGGTAAAAATGGAAAAGAACTACATTGTTAAGAGAAAAGAGTCACAGAGCAGGAAAAAAATTAGACACTATCTGGTAAGTTATTCAAATTATATAAAGGACTCCTAGAACTAGATGAGAAATAATCTGAATATTTGAAAGGGGGTCACGATATACACATTCACGGCTCTTCTCCTGACTGTGGGTACCATGTGACAGCTGCCACCTCAGTTTCCCCTCCATGATGAACTCTACCCTTGGACTTTGAACCTAAATAAACTCTTTCTCCCTTTAAAGAAAAAAATCAATCTGACTTTAAAATGACAACTACATCATCAAAAAAAGAAAAAGAAAAAGAAAAAAGAAAAAGAAAGCCAGGAGGTGGTGGTGCACGCCTTTAATCCCAGCACTCGGGAGGCAGAGGCAGGCGGATCTCTGTGAGTTCAAGGCCAGGCTGGACCGACAGCCTCCAAAACAATACAGAGAAACCCTGTCTCATAAAAACCAAAAAAAAAAGATAAGCAATACTTCATCAAGGAAATGAAATATATATGTTGCTCAAATCTGGGTAACACCAAATGAGCAAAGACTGAGCATCTACTGATGGGAGGCTAGTGAGACAGACAACCACTTGGGAAGATACTGTGATGGTTTCTTACAGAACTTAAGACATTTTATTATGCAACCCAGGAATTGTGTTCTTTTGCACTTACCCCAAGCTGGAAGACCAAGTAGCAGGGAGAGGAGGTGCAGAGAGTGTGTAGGCAGAGAGGGCAGGAATTGGTAGGCTTCTGAGGAGTGCATGGAAACCTAATGCAGGAGAAACTGCCTGGAATCTGTGAAGGTGATCCTAATGAGGACTCCTAGCAATGTTGGTTGCAGAATCTCACACCTCTTGCTGCCAGGGGAGGCTTCCAGGTTACATTTAATTGAGTTGCTGGCCAAGGGGTCCCACAAAAATCCCCCCAAAACCTAGGCTGTTGCTAAGACAAAGGGTTGCTCTCTATAAACCTATAGAGGGGGACCATTGCTAAGGGCAACTTTCATGTAACTCACTGAACAGGAAGAAGTCAAGCTGGTGCCTACATGGAGCTTTTACCCGTTTGCTGTGGGAAGGGTACTCTGCAAGGAAATGGTGGTACAGAACTTGTGGGAGTAGCCACTCAACATCTGATTTGATCTAAGGCCCACTCTGAGAGAAGGAACTCACACCCGACACTGCTAGGATGACCAAACACCAGAGACCTAGGATTAAACAACAACAACAACAACAAAAAGTATCAATAAAATGACTCCTAATGATATTCTGCTATACTCAGAGATCTGTGCCTTATCCACTCATCAGATTATCTTCTTCTGGCAACAGATGGGAACTGATGCCACAACCAGACATTATGTGGAGAGTCTCTGAATGAGAGAATCTCCATCAGATCCCTCCCCTCAGAACTCAGGGAATTCCTGAGATTGTAAGGGCCAGAGGAAACGAAGGACACCAGGAAAACCAGGTCCCCTGAATCAGCTCAGTAAGGAGCACATGTGCTCACGGAGAACGAAGCAGCAAGCGCAGGGCTTACATGGGTCTGCACTTAGTCTTCTGCATGTATATTACAGCTTACTATTTTGCGGGCCTCCTGACTGTGAAAATGAGTGGGTCTCTGACTCTTGCGCCTGCCACCGGACTCTTCCTTCTATTGAGTTGATGTGTCCAACCTTACATATGATAGTTTTTGCTTCATTATATTTTACCATGTTTAGTTGTTATTGCTTAGAAGTCTGTTGTTTTCTAATGAAAGTAGTGGAGGGGAGGGGAGGTAGGAAGGAACTGTGAGGAGTAGAGAGAGGGAAAACCTATAATCAGGATATGAGAAAAGAATCTATTTTCAATAAAAAGCAAACAAACATGATTAAAAGTAAATCTAACAAGTTATCAACATTTTGTCAAATCTAATTTGCATTTATAGTTTCTTATATTTAAATAAAGAATTATTATGTCTTATAGAAATAATGGTGCTGTGGTTATATTTTTCCAAAAGTCTCTATCAGCAAGGAATATACCAAGAAGTGATAAAGCATATGCCTAGATTTTTTAAGAATCATTTTTAAAGAGAGAAATTAAGAAAATATAGAAAATTATAGGTGGGAACCCTACATTATTCTACTTTTGTACACGATCAAAAGCTTCTGCCAGCCATGGTATCACAGGCCTTTAATCCCAGCAATCTGGGAGGCAGAAGCAGGAGGATCTCTGTGAGTTTGAGGCCAGCTTTGTCTACAAAGGGAGTTCCAGGACAGACAGGGCTGTTACACAGAGAAATCCTGTCTCAAAAAAACCTAAATAAATGAATCCAAAACATGGAGTGGGAAAGATGGCTCAGAGGCTAAGGCTGCTGTTAAAGAGGACTTGAGTTCTATTCCCAGCACTCACACTGGACGACTCACAAATTCCTGTAACTCTAACTCCAGGGATCTGACAACCTGGGATCCTGCATACATGTACACAGAGAGAGAGAGAGAGGAGAGAGAGAGAGAGAGAGAGAGAGAGAGAGAGAGAGAGAGAGAGAGAGAGAGAGAGAGAGAGAGAGAGAGAGAGAGAGAGAGAGAGAGAGAGAGAGAGAGAGAGAGAGAGAGAGAGAGAGAGAGAGAGAGAGAGAGAGAGAGAGAGAGAGAGAGAGAGAGAGAGAGAGAGAGAGAGAGAGAGAGAGAGAGAGAGAGAGAGAGAGAGAGAGAGAGAGAGAGAGAGAGAGAGAGAGAGAGAGAGAGAGAGAGAGAGAGAGAGAGAGAGAGAGAGAGAGAGAGACTTAAAATCTTAAACTTCTGTAACAAATAACCTGGGACTTTTTAAACATAACAGAAAAAGGGAAAGGAGGCTTCGTGCAATGGGCTAGAATACTTATGGCAAAGACACAGCAATGGAGGACACCTCTTACTAAACTGCTTACTTAATAAAACATTGGCCAGGAATTGACTTAGAGCATGTGGAGTAGTAGGACACAACTTTAAACTTCAGTCCCAGCACTCAGGAGGCAGGGGTGAAAAGTGAGAGCTCTGGAAGTTCGAGGCCAGTCTGGTCTACATATTTAATGCCAGACTAGGCAAGGCTACAAAGAGAGCCCTTTTCTCAAAACAAGGAAACAAAACCAAAACTAAACAAAACAACAACAACAAAAA